ACATACTCTCAGCTTCAGAGGAAGGCAAAGGTAAATTTCCTCTGATCAGATTTTGCCAAGAAAACCCCATGATAGATTTGCCTTAAGAGTTGCCATAAGTAGCAAATAATGTGAAGGCACACAACAGCATTTATCCTTCTTGTATAATAGGATATCACCTTTAAAAATGGAGCATATAACTGAGACCTTTGTTTTATTTTGTATTACTACAAAAACTAGACTCCCTTTCTAGAAGTCTCAGCATATTATGAATATCATTTGGAAGGGCCTTGATTTGGTTTTCCCTACCCTTTGCAAATAATTGAAAAATTGCTATCAAACTTTAACCTTACATTAATCATATTCACTGACCAAGTGATGAAGCCACTGAGAAATAAACTCCAGGTGTAAATCCTTATCCAGAATAAAAAACTAGGACCAATGTCAATGCCAGTCTGAACCAGAACTGGATGGTTATCATACTAGCTGGCTTGGCTAATACCTCTTTAACTATTTTCTTTCTTATTCATAGGTCAATAAAATCATTTATAAATTTAACAAAAAATAGAATTGGATCTAATTTATTAAAACATGGATATTAAATCTTTATTCAAGTATAGCAACCACAACTTTCTTTAGCTAATCTTCCCAATAATAACCAGTTCTGTTTTTATAATATCAGTATTTTTGTGATTTATCTACCCTAGCTATGTAGGGAGTATCTGTTTAGCTGTAAATCAACTGAAGACTCTTTTTAAAATTTTATATTGCCTTTTCTGTTCTTACATCTTAGATCCAAAACACACTGCAGAAATAATCCAGTTTGAGACCACTTTAATTGCCCTGCTTTAGTGCTAAGCAATTCTGGGAATTGTAGTTTTGTGAGACCTTTAGCCTTCTCTGACAGAGAGCTTTGGTGCCACAATAAACTCCAATTCCCAGGATTCACTATCACTGAGCCAGGGCAGTTAAAATGATCTCAAACTTGATTATTTCTGCAGCATGTTTTAGACCTTAGGTAACCTTCATGTATCCTTTGTTTAAGCATGAAACTGTATTCTTAAGTCTTTTAAAACTAGTATGTGATCAAATTCCTACTGTTTATCTGTAATCCCTCATAGTCCTTGGGGGAAAGGGGTGCTAGGGGCTGCAGGGATTGAATAAAATTGACAGTGCTAAAACTCCTGAGAGTGCTAAAACCCCTGTATTGTCCTGATAACTAAAAGATGAAATGTCACATGTACAAGGGGGTATCGTAAAGCTTTAATTATCACCTTTAAAAAATTGACAGAAAGGTTGTTTTGATTTGTAGTTGCTAACTTATCTCTCCATAGTCACCATCCAGATTTACACATTTTCCCCAGTGTTTCTTGACCCTCCGATTACTGTTATTGTAGAATTGCAGATTGCACCTTACGAGGATTCTGGCACAACCTGTCACAACCTGTCACAAAAATAAAGGACACAATGAGCTGATTTTCTCAACATCAAGCACTTAGGGACCAATGACGACACTGACAAAATTTCATCAATATACCATAATAACCTCTGGGTGATAATTATTACTTTACAATACCCCCTCATAAGGCACAGTCTGCGGATTTCTACAATAATGGTATTTGGAGAGTCAGGGGGGTTGCAGACTGCCAGAAATAGTGCAAATTGAGCCCACTTTTAGGGTTAGGGTTAGTGCTAGGGAATCATGGAAATTGTTGTTGTTTTTTTCTGAGACATTGAGCCTTCTCTGTCAGAGAGCTCTGGTGCCACAATAAAATACAGTTCCCATGATTCCCTAACCCTAACCCTAAACCCTAAAAGTGGACTCAATTTGCACTATTTCTGGCAGTCTGCAAACCCCCCCCTCAGGAAATGCTGGGAAAAATGGGTAAATCTGGATGGTGATTAAGTAGAAATAAGTTAACAACTACAAATCAAAACAAACTTTCTGTCAGTTTTTTAAAGGTGATAATTAAAACTTTACAATACCCCCTCGTAAATGAAATGTAAAAAGGTCACATTGCCATCTCTAACCACAAATTTCACATTCCATCCTTTCCATGCAAAATTATGCACACAGTGACCAGATGTCCTCGCCACACAGGAGGACAAGGCACCACAAAATGTAGGCCATTCAAGAAAAATTGAGGACATGACCAAAACAAAAGCTAAAAACACTCACATAAATATCAGTCCATGCTTCTTAGTCATGCTCAAAATGGAGGGCATTTTGGAATTTCTCCTGGACAGAAGGTTGAAATGTGGAGCATGTCCTGGAAAAAAAGAGGACATCTGGTCACCCTGATTATACAGGGCCAAGACAACCACAGACAACAGGGGCAGGCAAACTGTCCCCTTTAAGGGCCGAGGGACTTCAGCTCCCAGAAGCCTCAGCCATGTTGGCCAATAGTCTGGGATTCTGGGAGTTGAAGTCCCTCGGCCTGTAAAGGGGACAGTTTGCCTACCCCTGTTTAAAACAAAGTGATAAACGCTGCCTACCATTTGAACTGAAAGCTGAATTGAAAGTGGGGAACTATGAAGCCATCCATGGAGCTTCCCTTCAGTTTCCAACCAGGGCCTATTTATTCAAAATGGCCTCCAGGCCTTTCTCTCACACTGACAGGTAAACCTCTGCCACCTTGGATCCTGTCTTCCTGATCTGTGGCTACTCCTTATAGGCTGCATTCACACTGCAAAAATAACCCAGTTTGACACCACTTTAACTGACCTGGTTCAATGCTAGGCAATTATGGGAATTAGAGTTTGTTGTGGCTCCAGAGTGGAGCTGGGTTATTTTTGAAGTGTGGGTGCAGCCTATATTACAGTGTAAAACAGGGGTAGGCAACCTTTCCCCTTTAAGGGCCGAGGGACTTCAGCTCCCAGAATCCCAGGAGCTATTGGCCAACATGGGACTATTGGCCAACATGGCTGAGGCTTCTGGGAGCTGAAGTCCCTCGGCCCTTAAAGGGGAAAGGTTGCCTACCCCTGGTGTAAAAGATGAAAATAATGTAAAAGAAACTACATAGTTCATGGCTAATTCGGGGCTGGATTGGATGACCCTTGGGGTATCATTTTCTATGTTTAAAACTTTGCATTCGCAGAGCAGTTTCTAAAATGCTTTTTGGTTCTGCTTCACTGGAAATGATAGCAAGGAATGTTGGTTTTTGACCTTCAAGGCAGACATATTGTTTCACAGCCAAAAGAGATAACATTGATGGTAAAAGAACAAAACTGAGATGCTAAATTCGTAAGTGCATGACAAGCAGAGGTGTAATGTAATCAGGAAAGGAGGGGTTTTTGAATTGTATCCTGTAACCAATGAAAATGTTGAATTATGCATGTGTTAATGTAATGATAAACTAGCTGTGTAAGATGGTATATAAGGACTTTGATTAGCTGAAGTGGGGGGGCTCTCTCCAGTCATGGGACAAACCTGTCTGGGAGGCCCATTGACATGAATAAACTCTGCTTTTCTGACTTCGAAGGTCTCTGTTCTTGTTCATCCACGACAACTGAAGCAAGGGTGTTACTAGGCCTCTACTCAAGCACTGTCCCTTCTTCTCCTCACAACTCCCTTCTACATTTTCCTACTACAGTGGAACCTCTACTTACGAATGCTTCATCCTACGAAATT